AAGGAGACTAGCAACAATGGAGGAGGACGCATGGTCCGAGAGCAGTCCGGGGTAGCTACTTATCAAAAGGTTAAATATTGGGTAAGAATTCTAATTGTGTGGGCATCTTGTTATTTGAGCATTTCCAAATATACAAATCCATTGGCTAATCTTTAAGCTTTGAGAGTCTTCATTCTACCAGGTATCATGAGAATGGCGGATATTGTCTGGGGTTCAGCTGAGCTTTGTGGATGCAGTGTAGTAGATTGGCAGAGCCATCCCCCACACTGGTGTCTCGTGGGTGCCAGGGCCTGCACATCTAGGTAACCGGAGCGCCTGGTCAGAGCCGAAGAGCAGTGGGAACGTGGCGGCTACCTGGGAACAAGCTGGACCGGGTACTGTTTTCTAAATATCTCCCCTACACCACCCCTCCCTACCTGCCTGTCTACCTGAAGCTGAGTGATCACTTGCTTCAAAATAACATTTGCCACACACTGAGCCAGATGCATATCTGCTGTGGAAAACTGGCAGTGAAGAGACCCACAGGACTGCCACTCCTTTCCCTAGGGAGTGTGTATGTGTGTATGTGAAAGAAGTTTACTTTTTTTTATATATATAAAAACATGTTACTTACATGAACAAATCATGTAGTTTTTGCTTATATTTTTAAGGTTCTACATCATATATTTATATATTTGAACATTTCATGGTTCTATCTTGAAATACAGTTAATACTGATACATGTATCTCTCATAGACACAAACTCTTTGGTGTCTTTAATAACTTTTTAAATACACTTTATAAAAACTCTCTTTGTTGGATCTGGAGAAATGTCTCAGCAGTTAAAAGCACTGGCTACTCTTCCAGAAGACAGGTGTTCAATTCCCAGCACACAAATGGTGGCACACAACCATTTGTAGCTCCAGTTCCTGGGGCTTGACAATTTCTTCTGGCCCCTGTGGGCACTGCACAAAGGTGGTACACAGACATGCATGCAGGCAAAACACACAGACACATAAAAATTTTAGAAAGTGTGTGTGTGTGTGTGTGTGTGTGTATGTGTGTGTGTGTCTGTGTCTGTGTGCACGCACACTGGAGACACACATTGCCACACCATACATGAGGAAGTAAAGTACATCAGGTGTTGGTCCTTTCCATCCACCTTGTTTGAGACGGGGTCTTCTGTGTTGTTAGTGGCAGCATATTTAGCATATACTTACCTGTCTAGCTGGTCCTTGAGTTTCTGTCTGTCTCTCATCTTGCCATAGGGTCACAGGGATCATAGCTCTGCATTGCTGCATCTGGCTTTATGTGGGTTCTGGATCCAAACTTGCATCCTTAGTCTTAACATGTCAAGTTCTTTAGTCTCCCGGACTCCTTTTAAAAATATTTTATTTACACATATTAATTATACACAACAATCTGTTGCAATATAACATCTTTATTATGTATATAGCGCATTTCTTAGTAACAGTCTAGAGCGGTGGTTCTCAACCTGTGGGTCGTGACCTCCATTGGATCTCAAACCATTCTTTCACAGGCGTGACCTAAAACCATTGAAGAACACAGATATTTATATTAGGATTCACAACACCAGCAAAATTAAAGTTACAGAACAGCAACAAAAATAATTTTATGGTTGAGGTTTACCATTGTATTAAAGGGTCACAGCATCAGCAAGGCTGAGAGCCAGTGGTCTGCAGAGTCACACAGGATTTTTTTTTCTCCTTTGCTGGAAAGAAAAGAGCCAGTGTGGAGGGTGAGAGCTGTGGGGAAAAGATTAAGCCATGAAATGAGAGCTGTTCCCTCTGCCATAGTTTCCTAATTTTTGAATTGCAGCACATGGCCACTATAAGGCAGTGCTTTGTGAATCATGGTACAAAGCAATTCTGTTTCATTTCTCTTTCAGTGTGTTGGCTTTTTTTTTTTTTAAAGCAAGTGGGCAAAGGCTGGATGTTTGACCCACAAAAACATGCCCCAGAAACCCAAAGCAACCTGTGTCCTCTTGAAGGAGCGGGATTGTGTCATCCAGCCTTAAGCCCCCATCTTCCATGAGACTGTCTGCTATGGGTTAATTGTTATCTAGAGACGTAAGCCCTGCTTCTCCAGGAGGCAGCTGGCAACCTGTCCAGGTACAGTCATGGCCCCTGCAGCTGCCAAGCGGTGCTAGAGGGGGAGGGGAATGGTTAAAGTCTGTCTTCCAGTAAATTCTTGCTCTGGCTGTCAACTCAGAGGAAGAAGAAGGGAATATTCAGAGTTCAACAAATCGTAGGGCTGGCGAGATGACTCAGTGACTAAAGGCGATTGTAGTGCAAGCCTGGTTGCCTAGATTTGATCCCAGAACCCGAATAAAGGTGAAAGAAGACAGATGCTATAAAGTTGTCCTCTGTTCTCTACACATGTGCCTGGGCATGTACACCCACACAGGGACATTGCAAACACACACACACACACACACACACACAAATAAATAGGGCTGGAGTGACAGCTAAGCAGTTAAGGACTCTTCAGTTCAGCCCCCAGCATCCACATGATGGCTCATGACCACCCTTGACTCCAGATTCCAAGTTCCAGGGAATCTGACACCTTCTCCTGACTTCCTCACTCTGACACACAGAGTGCGTACAAATGTGCAGGTCATGAATTCCTAATAAAAAATAAATTTCAAAAAAAACCCTAAAAATAAAATATACATTTTTATCAGCAGTAGCTTTTAAATCTTTACTTCCCTTGATAATAGAAACACAGGGTTTAATGAAAAAAAATGAAATGGGAAAATACATACATACTAATTTTTATTACATTTTTATGTGCAGAGGTATGTGTATATGTGTGTGTGCACACACATGCCATAGTACACATATAAAGAACAGAGAATGTCTTGTGGGGCTGTTTCTCCTTCCACCATGTAAGTACTGGGGATCTGAACTCAGGTCATCTGGGTGCTCAAGAAGTACTGATCTGTCTACCCCAAATTGCCTGTCAAGCATTTCGATATAGCCACAGGATGAGTAACTAACCCAGAAAATCAGTATCAGTAAGGAGGGCTGTGAGGAGAGAAGGCAAATCTCAGCCTAGAAGCAGAAATGGTAGCTTCTTATCATCTCCAAACCAACCAACTTTATTTTATTCTATTTCACGTTCAGCCCTTTTGCTGGCAAGACAGAAAGAAAGAAAACAATGTACCCTAGGGGTTCCTAACCTGCACCTCTTTCCCACACTGCCAAACATTTAGGAACGTGGAGGAGAGGAGAGTGGCTTCTGGCCACTATGGAGCAGTTGTCCACTGTGTGCTATCTAAGATGTCCATCATCTTACTTCCTCTACCTTACCCCTGGGTCCACGTCCACGCCCTGCTCCCCTGGAGTTTGTTTTAGGGTGAGTGAAAGAAGTCTGTTGCCTCTCCCACAACAAACTCCTTCCTTCTTTCTTCTTCCCACACACTCAAGGCCTTGGCTCTGTGGGATCCTTTGGGCAGGAAGTAAATCGTCTGGCAGATAGGCAGCTCCTGTTCTCTCCTGAACACGAACTCCCTGGAGACAAGAGCAGACTGTCATTTGCTTGAATGAAGAAGGCGTTTGTGTTAGTATTGTAAATACTAACATGAAGGAAGGGAGTTGGAGGGGGAACAACTGATGTCCATGATAGTCTGGCATATTCTCTCTTCAATAGCTATAGGTCCTTACAAGTAAAATACATTTCCTAAGCACAGTCCTGTCCCCATCCCTGCCTCTCCAGTAATAGACAAAAGAGACAAGTCTGTAGTTCTCTCTCAAATGGGACTCGGTTGGAGCCCTCTTCCTTAGATCATTTCTCTAGCCTCCACTCCCACCCCAAAAGGGAAGGAGCTGGGGTCCTTCTTGACTACGATGCCTCCTGGAGGTTCGCCCACCTTCTGCTCTGACTCCATGCCATACAGGGCTCAGTCAAAGGCTTGCTGAACGCTTCCAGCAGTGCTGTGGTCAAAGGAGAGTAGAGGGATTCCTTGCTGAGTCTGGCAAGATCCCCCTCTCTGTTTTTCCTGCCTGTCTTCCCTCCATTCACTAGACAATGGTCATGTTGACCGCCTTTCCTCCTCTTAGCCCCACCGTGCCCATTCCTTCTCTAGGTCACTCCCAAGGGTCTTTCTGCAGAAGGGATGTCCTTGACCATGAGCCACCACTATGGCCCACTGCCATTCACTTCCTTTGTAGCGTGCATCAAAACTATCCGGTGACCTTGTCCCAGCTTCTCTGTTAGTCTTCTTGATAACTCAGTCATAGTTAGAACATGGAACTTGTGTGCATTCTGTATTCTTTTCAGCCTCCAGCCACATCTGCACATATGAGGCGCTCAGTCCATAGCTGTGAGTGAGTAAATAATAAGCAAACACTTTGGCGGAATTTCTTCTCTACTCAGGTCTTTCATTTCCAAAAGCAGGTCGTCAACCTGCTTTTCTCTGAAGAAAAACCTTCATTCCCATCTGAAAACTCAGGGAAATGACCAAGTTTAGAAATCAAAGCACACAGGCAATTTCTACTTTTCACCTACAGAAAACTCTAGGTCCGTGAAAGAAAAGGGTATATTTATTTTGTTGAGAACAGTCTAGAAGGCTGGTTTGGAATTAGGTGCAAAATGGAGAAATCAAAAGGGGAAAATGGAAAACTCAGAGCCAGAAGACCAGGTCGGGGGTTTTTGTTGTTGCTCTTTTTGTTGTTTGTTTGTTTGTTTGTTTGTTTTATTCAAAGGTTTTCCCTACACCTGGATGAAAGAAAGGTGTTGCTGTGACCGCTGCCCCGCTGGTGTTTGGCGAGGAAAGTTGCCTTTCACACACAAGAGCTGGCGTCAGCTCAATTAGCAGGCCAGCCTGGTTGCTGCTCTTGGACTCTTGTCTAAACAGGACCTGGCCTTCAGGCAACCACAGGGGCGGGGGCGTCTACGGATGGCAGCCCAATCCTACCAGACCAAAGATGACGGGGGAGGACCCTGCTCCTTCTTAAGCTCCAACCCAGTCGAGCCAGGGCTAGAAAGCCAGCCAGACAGCCGCCCCTTGCAGTCTCCACCTGTCTTTACAGAGCTGGGGAGAGGAGCCCAGCCCACAGTTAGTGCTTGGAAGCCTAAACCAGACTGGCCACATCTGCCACATCACCCACGACCTGCTAGCATGGCCGACCAGCTGACTGAGGAGCAAATCGCTGAGTTCAAGGAGGCTTTCTCTCTGTTTGATAAGGATGGGGATGGCTGTATCACCACCCAGGAACTGGGCACTGTCATGCGGTCCCTGGGTCAGAACCCCACAGAGGCTGAGCTCCAAGGCATGGTGAATGAAATCGACAAGGATGGAAACGGCACCGTGGACTTCCCCGAGTTCCTGACAATGATGTCCAGGAAGATGAAAGACACTGACAGTGAGGAGGAGATCCGGGAGGCCTTCAGAGTGTTCGACAAGGATGGCAACGGCTATGTCAGCGCAGCCGAGCTGAGGCACGTGATGACCAGGCTGGGGGAGAAGCTGAGCGATGAGGAGGTGGAGGAAATGATCCAGGCGGCAGATACAGACGGTGATGGGCAAGTGAACTATGAGGAGTTTGTTCACATGCTAGTGTCCAAGTGAGGCTGTGCCACAGACTGGTACAGCTAGGTGCCCACGAGGCTCCTGGGCTACAAGCTTGGCTGGATAAATAGCTGCTACCCTCACGGTGGTGAGAATCTTAGCCAGGCCTTAGGTGTCTTTCCCTGTTTCCCAGCTTTCTCCGGGCTCTATGGACTGCATCCACAAGTCTGCATTTCACTTTCTGCATCTCCTATTCTGCCAACTTCCCACCAGCTGGTTCTCCTTGACTGAGAACGCCTCCAGCTCAGACAGGCAACACCTCCTCCTAGCCCTCAAGAGCTAAACCAGAATGTCTCATCTCTGCACGGACAATGAGCCAAAGGACCCTCGCCCCAGTTTTGTTTTGGTTTTTTTCTTTTTCTTTTTTTTCTTTTCTTCTTCCCTCCATCCCCCACCCCCCTGTTTTCAACAGAAATGATCAACTCCTCGGCATACTTCCGGCAGGAATCTCCATTTGTATTGTTGTGTGGGGTGTGTGTGGCTGGGGAGGGGCTTGGCAGTCACCAGCGCACAAAGCTCTGCATCAAGGTGGCCTGTGGCCATCAGTTCATACATCGTAGTTCTTGGGCATCTTTGGCTAAAGACTGCGTCTGTTGGATTTGGAAAGCATCTGGGCATGAGGATGAAGGGCAATGGTGGCGGTTTTAATGACTTAGGTCAGACTGTCTGGAAAACATCACTTCCCTTTCATGCAGACTTTCCTTGTTTCTTTCTGTCTCGATCAAACCTCTGTGGTTCTGGATTTATGCTTGTTTGTTTGTTTGTTTGTTTGTTTCTCTGTTTGTTTGTTTTCTGAGCTGAAAGTAAAGCTGGGGAGTCACTGTAACATGTTTGTATTCATCTAGAAGAAAAGAAATTTAAATGTGAGAGAGGGAAGCTGCAGGGGAATAAATAAGTAAAATAAGACACCCATGTTTTCTATTTTGATTCCTTTTAACTTCTAACTAGAACACTATTTTTTAAATCTAGGCGATAAACAAGTCAGCAACCTCTAAGGAGTTTTTTTTTTGGTTGGTTGGTTTGTTGGTTGATTTGGGGGTTTTTGTTGTTGTTGTTGTGTGTGTGTGTGTGTGTGTGTATGTGCGTTATAAACGCAATAAATTCCTATATTGGTGTGTATAGAAAAATCTGGATACAATATCTCTGTCATATAATGACTAAGTCACTAGCAAAGAGCAATTGCATCTCAGTAAAGGGCTGGATGTAGAGAGCTCGCTGATAGCCTAGCAAGCATAAAGCCCTGGGTTCTTAATAATCAACACACAAACTGGGCATGGGGGTGCGTACCTGTGTTGCCAGCATTCAGAGGGTAGAAGGAGCAGGGTCACAAGTTCAGGGTTGTCCTTAGGAGTTAGAAGCCAATTTGTGCTGCAAACCCCAATTTTAGAAAAAGGAAGAAAAAGAAAGAAATATCTGTAAAACTGCTAAAAGGCCCGAGTCAACTACAATAAAGAAGGATCTCAGGTATTTACTCCTGCTACACACAGTACAGGCACTCCGGTCGTTGTCAAGTACCTGGTACTTAGAAGGTGGTAGAGGGTTAGAAAAATCTAACTGAAAGATAGCTCCAAACAAGGTGCAATAGCAATTCAGAGTAGTTCTGTCCACACTAGCCATACACAGAGGTTAGATCAGGTTGTGCAGAGGCTGAAAGGCCCCTTCAGTCATCCCTTGAGTGCCAAGAGGGGTGAAGTCAATGTTTTGTGATGTGAACCCTAGAGTGGGGTTCATCAAAAACACTGATTATCCTTGACTCCACCTCCCCAATACCTCAGTGTTTCTTCCTCTGTAAAGTGGTGAGGGTGGGCTAGCTCAGCAGTGAGTGAGACAGCCTGGGGTTGCAATCCAGCCTTTCTATTATCTTTATGGCTGTGCCCCTTCATGATATCAAGACCTACACACTACCCTTGCTAAGTGAGAGGTACTTAGTCTGTTTAGGAACTCACTACCATCCTATAGGGTGGCCACTATTCCTCTGCTTCCTGTCTTACAATTGAGGAACTTGAAGGCATGTCCTAGGCTTGATCTCCCTCTTGGCTGAGCACGACCCCTTTGCCCTCACTGTGATGGTAATAGTGGCCTTTCTCCATATTGAGGAGGATTATAAGAATGGTATTTTTTTTTCTTTTCTGTTTTTTTTTTCAGTACAGTTGATTGAACCCAGAGTCATACATGCTAAGGAAGCACTCTACCACTGAGATATATTCTCAAGCAATAATTAATATTTTCAATTTTATTTATTATTATTATGTGTGTATAGTGTGTATAGGAGAGTCCATATGTCATGGTACATAAGTGGAGGTCAGAGAACACCCTTGTGGGGTCGTTTCTCTCATTCTCCCTATGTGGGTTCCAGGAATGGAACTCAGGTTGTCAGGGTTACACATCACCCCAAGAATAATATTCTCAATACACTCATCATGGAGTAGGTCTCGTACTCATGGAGATTCCTTGATAAATAAACACAAAGTTAAGGACTCCTCCTGGCACCAATAGTCAACAAGGCTTCTCACCCTCAAAAGAGTCCAAGAGTCAAGGGCAGAGAGGAGGCAACAAAAGACTCTCTGTGTCATCTTGCAGAATCTCAGGTAAGATCTGGCACTGATACAAGGTTACTGTCAGAAGAGCAGGAGGAAGTTTCCGACTGAGCTAACTAACTTCTGGCTGTGCTAAGAGTCAGAGCTGGCTAGACACTTCCATGTAGTGATTTGGGGACGAGTCTCAGAAGCTTTAGGGACACAGCATGCACAGATGACTGGATAGCAGCTCCCTGGAGTCACTGGAAGAGAAGAGCTGAGACTGAAGTATAGATATGGTCACAGAGCCATCTGCCAGGAGAAAGCGACATCCCCATGTGGGCAAACATAACCCAGGTCTCCACATACGTTGTCAGATAGCTCCTAAGTTTTTGAGGCAAGTGAGAAGTGGAAATCTCCAGAGGTCTTTCTGGTCCCTATAGATACTTGGCTGGAGTGCTGACATTGACTCCTAAGTTGTAAGTCATGTGAAGTACTTACAAGCACTAGGATCTACACACACTGCTAAGAGTTTAGCTAGGAGAGGCTCTTTTTGCATTTCCCTGCCAGTTCCCAGCAATGCAGCGAAAGCAACCCTCATATTTGTGATCCACACACCGCCCTGAAGCTACTCATACTTATAGTTTTCAAGCCTCAGAGCCTTTCATGCAGAACTTTTCTGCCAGGGCAGGAACTGGCAGGTAAGATGGAAAAACTTCTGCTTGCTCTCAGCCAAGAACTGACAGGCCCTGAGCTTCTCAGCAGGCAGATCTCAGAAGCAGAATGGTAATTAAAACTGGTATGGGGTGAGGAGAGAGGGGGTGGCAGCCTTGCTTCCTCCTGTCCTGGAAGCTCTGAGGCATCAAGATCAAAGCCAAGCTAGCCCAATGATAAGCTGATTGTACCTGGTCCTGCCCCGTTGGTATTCACTTTCCCAAATACTATTTATTAAAACTGTTTCTGCAGCTTCCTGTCCTGAAGATTCGGGGCTATCTAGCAATAAGCACCTGCTGCTTGAGCACATGGTTGGCCCTTCTTTCCAGCCTGTTGGGTTTAAAATGAGGAATGTTGTTGAATCTATATTTCCTGGGGAAATATAACTAAAATCTATTCACTCCAGATAGAGCACCAGTGACAGACCAATTCTCAACTTCCCCCAAGTCTGGCTTGGTGAGTTTAGAGGTTAGAGTTTAGAAGCACTGGTATGGGAGCATGAGGGTCCTAAACTTTTCAGGCACATCTCTGAAAAGCCCCATCCCAACATAGAGAACCATTTCCCTACGGCTGCACAGATGGAGAGCCTCTGTCTCCTATATACGCCAGCACCTCCCAGAACTATACACAGTGGGGCAGAATTACATACAGCTAGGAAGAGATGCAGGACGTAGTTGCTGAGATTTCAGATAAGGGTCTATTGACACCCCTATACACGTACACACACACACACTCACATGCACACATGTAAGCACACACTTTAATGAGAGAACACCACCAGATCCAGTCTTGAAGGTTTCTTGCAGGTAGCAATAGCTACTGTGCTCATGATGGTGATGGTTGTTATCCTTAGAGGACTGAATTCCACCACAGATATAAATCCCAGGCTGCTGCTCTGATCTGTCCCTCACTCAAAGAGACTTGATGTCTTGAGACTCCCTTGAACTGACTGATGAGTCCTTTTATTGGCTGGTAATGCCAATCTCTACAGCTAGGCATCAGCTAGTCCAACTCAGTTTACCCAAGACAATGTAGTCCATCACACAGTAACAGTAACACCCACGGTACTCAAGACACATCATTGTACTTCTCACTTCTACAATTTCATTTTCTGTCCCCCCCTCTTCCTCCCTACTATGGCTAGAACCTTCAAGGAATCAGCTCTGTCCAGTCAAATATAGCAATGGGGGAAATGCTGGTGTTTGTTTAAGGAAAGAAGGCAACACACAAATTTTTACTTATTTTACTAAAATGTAATCACCATAATTGAGAGTGAGATTTTGCCCCTTGAGGAAAGGCAAAAAGAACTGTGTCTGGATAGCAGGAAGGATCCACCAAACAGTTTCCAGTGTGTGGGGAGCAAGAAAGGACTCCGGCCTGTTTTCTTCTTTGACAGACTCTGGAGCAGGTATCCTATCTCTAACATCCCCCCCCTTCCTTTCAGACACCTAATAACCAGATTTAAACAACCTCCCCTCACCCCCCTCCCAAAAAGGTGCTCTCTGACTCCAGCTCTGCAGAACATTCCATCTATCTTTGGAGGAAAGAATTTATAAATATTACCTCAACTTTCATGTGCTTTCACTGAGCTCCGTCGTAAATCAGGACTTGAGGCTCCCACACTCCCAGATATATAAAGCTCTTCTCTGACTCTTGGGTTTCCAATTTTAAATCAAACACGAGCCAGCCTCACTGGCTCCTGTTTATCCTTACAGATTCCAGAGGCCAGTTCAAAGACTCTAAGAACCAACAGGCTAAAAACGGCCCATTGTTCCTGATGGAGAAACATAATACGAAAAGTCACATACTGTACTAAAGTGTCCTATGCAGAATGAAGAAATGGGTGAAACGATGGGTTGGTTGGTTGGTTGGTGGGTTGGTTGGTTGGTTGGTGGGTGGGTTGGTTGGTTTTAAGGAAGGGAAGGAAAGATGGAGAGGGGAGACAGAGAGAAGTAGATGGTGGCGGAGATGTGGGGGAGGGAAGGAAAGATAGAGGAAGAGAGAAAAGAAGGGGAAGGGCAAAATAAAATAATACAGAATCTAAAACAGTCTCTGGGAAGGTTTTGGACCCAACCCACATGTCAACCTCTCCATTATCCTGCCTTTCCGATGATTGTTTCCATAGCAATAAGTCCTCAGCTAGAACTCTGAACTAGACAAGGGAATGGAATGTGGTTGATCAGGGAGCCACTACAGAAAGACTCTCCTAAGCCACACCCATGATGAAGTACAAGTGTGGTTGACAGGTGCTGGGTGTGGGATAGGCTAGCTCAGCTTCCTGCTTGAAGAGAAAGGCATTGTAGTGGATGTAATATGGAAACAATCAATGTCACCTACACACCTTCTCTGGGTCCTTCACTTCCTCCTAGAGCACTTAGCATTCACTATGCAGGAGGGCAAAGGAGCTGAGCATTACATACATGTGACTGAAAGCTAAAGATCAGGTAGACCTAGGCTATCTTACACACTGAGGGCTGCCATGCCACACCAGAGGTGATGACTGTCTGGGGATGAAGCACAGAAGTCCAACTACAAGTAGCCCTACCAGTCCACAGGAGACACTCACCTCCCATAGTTACCAACCTAGCTGATTTCATTTACAGCCCACAAAAAGCCCAAAAGACTCCAATCTACAGTCTCCCATGATGGAAGTAGAGCTTTTACTGGGGCACAC